GCTAAAAGCCAACTGCTTGTTAGCTAAGGCTATAGAGCAGACTCATTTTCTCTCTCTCTCTACGTGGTCTCGGTGCCACTAGATGAGACAGAACACCACACCCAGGAGATGTGTGGGTTACACATCCACTAAGGATTATACACTGTTGCTATTTTCCCTGTCTATCTGTGTGCAAAGTACATCTATATCATTTTGTACTTGGGGAGTTGCGTTTCTTTTCTTAAACCCACTACGTTCAACTGTTAATTCCTGAAGATTTCTGGCTAGCCTTGTCTTATATGATGCAAAATTCAGCCACTTTTTTTTTTATCTCATGACTTGAAATCCCAGACTCACCACCCCATTCTTCTCATCCACCCATCCTAAAGATCCAGCACCAGGTCAGTCATCATCTTTCTCCAGACTGCCCCAGTCCTCCTCCCACCAAGTAGTTCCCAGCTCCCTCTCCAGTTAATCCATTTTGCTGTCCTGGCTTTGACCGCAACTGGGGCTCCCTTAGGTCACAACAGATCCTTCTCAGCCTTTGCTGCTTCCTGCAGCTCAACTCCTGGCCCACACTTCTTGCAGCAGCTCCACATCAATTCTGTCAGTCCTAGCAAGTTCTCTAGAGTGCTCCAGTTGTTTTCTGCCACCATTGGGTGTTGACTCAATTCCTCGTTAATTTCTCTATTTGGTTTCTCATGTACTGTTCCTGCCACCACCTTTCTCTGCACCATCCTCAGAGGTATACAGATAGCCTCCTCCCTGGATAGTTAATTTGTTACAGACTAATGGGTCAGTTGCAGAAAACTTGCTCAATATCCATTAAAATGTAGCATAGAGAAGTTTACATTCCTAACATGTTACTGTGGTGGAGGCCAAAAATAGCTTATTCTTGGCCCCTGTCCAGACCAGCAGAACTGGCCTGCTAGCCATTTTATAAGTGGTGATTATGCCTAAGAAATCATCACTTGATGTAACTAAGACAAATTTGCCAAATGCCATTTTGCCTTTAGCTTTCTCTTTTGGGGGAAGGTAACCCAGAAGATTGTGCTAGGGTAACTCTGGGTTCATCTAGAACAGTGGTTCCCAAACTTTAACAATCTGTGAACCCCTTTCACTAAAATGTCAAGTCTCACAAACCCCCTCCTAAAAATGAATATTTCCAGGGATTTTCTCCTTTACCTGAGTATAAATTATAAAAGCAGTGATCTTGGAAATATAAAATTTGTTTTTATGACATGCTTATTACACACTATTATTAATTATTATTTAGCAATGCAGTATTTTTATTACATTATGAAAACGGCAACACTCTTCCAAGATCTGACTTTTGTAGCTTGTATCACTTTTTGAATAAGCCTATTATAAGACAAGGCTCCTATGTTTCATCAAGGAGTATCAGATGTGAAACAGCATGAAAGTATTTAAGAAGCCAACTCAAAGAGTTCCTCCTACACAAGCATTCAGGTCTTGAGTAGTCCAGGCAAACAACGCACGTTACAACAAAGCTTCAACTTGTTCTTCATAATAATTTTAAAAACAATACTAGCTGCCTATTTAATTTTAAAAACAGCAAAAAATATCCACCTCCCTTTCCATTTCTTATAAGGATTCTTGAAGTTTATATCTCCTCAGTGTAATACATATGCTTGCTTTGATCTGCTTAGCTCTTGGAAGTCCAGGGGCTCCATGCTGCTGGCCCCATGCTGCCCGGGGACCCTAGGAACAGCTCTGTCCGCCATTAGGGAATTTTTTCCTGAGAACCCCTTGTAACATTTTGCGAACCCCCAGGGGTTCACGAACACCAGCTTGGGAACCACTGATCTAGAACCATCTGACTTCCTGAATCCCTGTCAGTCTAGTTCCAGTCCTAGAAACTGAGTTAACAACCTTGGCTGACAGTTACTAGTGAAAAATGAATGCCAGGTGTCTGTTCATTTTATTGGAGCTATCAGTAGTCTTTACTATGATGTTGCTGATTTGTCTGTGTGATTTGTTGTGGGTGGATGATTTTGTTGCCCAGTTCCACACTTTCCTTTCTGAAAGGCCTCAGAGTTCTCTTGGCTCATCTTATACAGAGTCCAATAGGGTTCCATTCTGCCACCGCTTTGGACCACCCATCTGTCTTTCAGGTGCTCCTCGGATGCCCATACTAGAGCAGCAGCTCTGATACCCTTGAAGAGGATGCAGCATACTCTCCTGCTCAGTGCCCGGCCAGCTCTCTGCCCTGGCAGACAACTAGCACCTGTGAGAGTATTAGCCTGGAGCAGGAGCTATGCTCCAACATGATTCTAGCTAGCTCCTGCACATGGGTGAAGGGGTGACAGAAGGAACTCCATACACAGGGCCGGCTCTAGGCACCAGCAAAACAAGCTGGTGCTTGGGGCGGCACATTTTTAGGGGCGGCATGGCTGGCGCCAGAATGCCGCCCCTAAAAATGTGCCCCGGCCGCCCTAGCTCACCTCCGCTGCTGCTGCCGCTCGCGCAAACAGCTGATTCGCGCGCCGCTACTCGCCGCCCCTCCCAGGCTTGAGAGCCTGGGAGGGAGGGGGAGACTCCGAGTGGCTGCGGCGCGGGCGCCGCTTCTCCCCCTCCCTCCCTCCCAGGCTTGAGAGCCTGGGGGGAAGAGGCGGGGCTGGGGATTTGGGGAAGGGGCGGAGTTGAGGCGGGGCCGGGGGTGGGGTAATTAAAAAACGGGGGGGGAGGGGTGGCCAAAATTGTTTTTGCTTTGGGCGGCAAAAATCCTAGAGCCGGCCCTGTCCATACACACCCGCCCGCTGCACACCCACTCAGAGGCTGACCAGCATCTGTCCCATTGCACTCACAGCTCACCTTTCTGTGCATATTGTTTAAATGCAACTTGTGTGCGGTTCTGGAGGCAACTGGTCCCACCGATTCAAAAGGAAAAATCAAATGAATGCTGCTTAATCAAATTAAATATTCAAATGAAAGCAATAATTACTCAAATGCATCTTGAGACTTAGTGAGACGGATTCTGTGAAACACCGGTTTTGGCCCTAAAGCTATAATGGAAACATCAGTCTCTAATGATTAAATAAAAAAGCCTAGGCTTGGGTTATCAGTAATTGTAAGGTTTAAATGAAAAGAAATGAGCAATCTGGCTAATATGCAGTCCCAGTACTCCACCTCTACCCTGCCAATGTCTTGGGTAACTCAGCACCAACATCCACCAATTTAAACTTGTAAAAATTCAAAACCAAGCATTTAAATTCAGACAAGGTATACTGAAGAGAGACTTAGCAGATTTCTGGTCTCATTATAATCTGTTAATTACTATGGTAACATAAGATTCTAACAGTCAGCACAACCAGGACTCTAGTCAAGCTTAGGTATGCATAAGAGATGCCTTATAGCCTTGAAATCCAGAAAATATGGGCAGAGTATCAAGCGTCACAATTATATGTCCCCTGTTCATATTCCTTATGAATTCCTGGAAGAAAAAGCTGACAGCTGAATTCTTTCAGAAGGGTTCTTTTATTGAATGTATTGTTACAATAGCCTGACTTATTCACATGCCAGGTTCATGAGTCATGATCTTGGGGACAAGAGAGGGCAAGGGGTGCTTCTAAACTCACTGAATTCACAGCTCTCCCACCAAGAAGTTATTTAAACATAAGATTATTCTAGGAACTTCTTGTAGCCGCTGCCATCAAAAAGAATTCAAGTTGCCACACAAAACATCTTTGTGTGGTGCTTTCCCAAGAAGGAGCAGAGAAATGTAGCTGTTTGCTGTACTTTGGCAAGAGCAAAATGGTGGTACTTAGAATGAAATAATTGAAATCAGAGATGCACAAGATCTATTAAGATTGTTCCCTGCAATCTACTTTCTAGTGTTCTGTCGCGTCTTAACCCGCAATGGAGTTCCTCTTCCTCTACTTACTTTGAGAGACCATTCCACAGTATTATTGATCTCGCTCTCAGGAAATCTGCCCTGATTGTTAACCTACGTCTTCCTTTTCTTAATTCCTCTCCATCCTTGGTGTTTGCATACTGCAAATATTCATAGAATAATTGAAGGAATTTTTATATTTCATTGGAAGAAAATATGTACTAAACATAGTAATAGCCAAGAATATTTGAATTAAGAAATTCATTTCAAGACAGGATAATGTTTTCAGAGGGCAGACTGGGGTATCCAGGCCAAGAGACTATTTTTGGCAATCTATGACGTTCAGGGCAATCTGTTGCATCCCAAGGTCAAAAGGTTTGCAGAGGTTCCTAAGTAGCTTTATGAGCCAAGGACAAATATCTCTCGGGGAGGGATGGTTTGGCTGTAGACCTGGTTACAATATTTGTGCAAAATGAAGAAATATTCTAGTTTTGTCCTTACCCCCACGGGCAAGAAAAGACTGATAAGTATGCCAGAGTCCTTTAGAGAGGGACTACTGCCAGGGAATTACGAACTCCACCAAGTGCAGGTCATGAAAGGATTCCCAGAGTGACCCCACTGATTTGCTTGAAGGAGTTGGAAGTGACGAAGTCCCTGCACATTTATTTGGACATTTGAGTTCAATGTACTTGAGCAGCCAATGGCATCTCTCCACGATTGGCCCCTTTATACCTCCCAGATGTAAACCATGAATTTCCCCCTCACAGTAAACCATGAATTCCCCCCTCCACACACACATGCAGCTAAAACTTCCATTGACTTTTTTGCTGCCATATGCCAAATTCACATCTAACCTGCTGTCTTCTGTCACCCCTCGGTCTCTTGATGTAACTGCTTCTAATTTCTCTTCAGAGAGTCTGCTTTCAAAAAGAGTTTTTCCTTTTGATGATATTTGTGATGTTCCATGGGAAAATATCAATAGTAAAGATCGAAGGAGTCCCATGCCGTATCACACTGACATGAAGCAATACAATAATATACACACCCGCATCCGGCAAATATGCAAGGACTGCTCCCAGTAAGCCTGCTCTCCAGGCTTCTCTCTGCGTTTAGAGACAATAGATGAGATCGAATTTAAAGGAACTGAGATCCATTGACAATTACTTACCCAATTCAAACTGGTTGGAAAGGTTGCCACAGGTCTGTCTAACTTCTTCACTGTCCCAACCCAAAGGATAGAGAGCACAGCCAGAGCCAATCAACAAGCCTACGGAAAGAAAGGAAAACAAGACTTAATACAACCCGCGACCATTACCATAATTAAGGCCTGCAGGTAAAATCAGTACTTGGAATTACATGAAAGGGTCACATTAACTTCTTATCATGAGGCACCTATGCTGGGAGCTCTGGCAAAGCATGCATCACTTTCTCTACTACTCCTTCTATTGTGGGTATGTCTACACAGTAATCTAGGGTTAGTGGGACCCGAGTCAGCTAACCTGTATCTGGGAACCTTGAGGGTCTACACTGCCTTTTAACCCTAGATACGGATTTTTTGACCCATGCTTGAACCTTGGGCTCTGATGTCCACACTACAGTGCACAGACCCGAGTCAAAGTAACTCTATGTCAGAGTCCCTAGCGCCCCTCCGTCCTCCGGTGTTGACACTCTAGCCCTATGAATGTGTTGCACTGTGGGAAAACTCTACTGCTCACCCTCTTTCCTAACTGTGACGGTGCTATTGATGGGACTCCGGTACCCATACGGAGCATGGGTACATAAACTGCATAATTAGCTCCTTTGGTGGCTGTCTCAGTAGGTTGACTGCAGTTTGAGGCTTTATACCAGGGGTGGGCAAGCTTTTTGGCCCGAGGGCCACATCTGGGTATAGAAATTGTATGGCGGGTCATGAATGCTCATGAAATTGAGGGTTGGGGTACAGGAGGGGGTGAGGGCTCCGGCTGGGGGTGCGGACTCTGGGGTGGGGCCGGAAATGAGGAGTTCAGGGTGCGGGATGGGGATCAGGGCTGGGGCAGGGGATTGGGGTGCTGGAGGGGGTCGGGGTGCAGGCTCTGGGTGGCACTTACCTCAAGCACCTCCTAGAAGCAGCGTCATGCCCCCACTCCAGCTCCTACGTGAAGGCATGGCCAGGCGGCTCTGTGCGCTGCCCCAGCCATAGCTGCCGCCCCTGCAGCTCCCGCTGGCCGTAGTTGCTGGCCAATGGTAGATGTGGCGGTGGCGCTTGGGGCAGGGGCAGCATGCAGAGCCCTCTGGCTGCCCTTACGCATAGGAGCCAGAGCGGGGGACATGCTGCTGCTTCCGGGAGCTGCACAGAGCCACAGCACGCATGGAGCGGGGCAAGCCCTGGACCCTGCTCCCTGGCAGGAGCTCAAGGGCCAGATTAAAACATCTGAAGGGCTAGATGCGGCCCCCGGCTTTATATATTAAACTACCATCTAATCTGAGAACTGGGCTCTCCACCTCTACGCTGAGTCACATTGGCAGGAAAATGCCCGTGTGCACCTGTTCTGAGGCTAACGAGGACATCAGTCTCCAGGAGTATCAAACTATTAAAGTGAAACTTTGCAATTCTTCATTTTTAAAATGGGACATTCAAAAATGGGAAGGTTGGTTTTTTATTTATTTTTGTCTGTTTGTTTTGAACTTTGACATAAAATGTAGGTTTCAGAGGAAAAACACACACACACCCCAGCCTGGCCCTTCCGGCTGTGGAGCGGTGTGCTCCAGCACCCCCTGGGGATCCCTCCTCCCTGCCCCCTTTTCAGCCCGGGAGACAGAGATAAGGCTCCCTGGGAGGCTGGGGGAAGTTTTGGGGCCGGATCCCACTCATGGCACTCACAGTGCACGGGCACCCCTGCACACGCAGCCCCAGGGAGACCTGGGAGCAAGCGACAGAGAGTGGAGCAGGACCAAGTGGCTGCCCTGCAGGGCTGGGAAGGGGCAGAGCCTCCATCTTGGCTTGGCTTGGGGAGAGATGACGTCCAACATCCTGGCAGCCACCTCCTGCCTGTCAGCTTTGCTCCCTGCTGCAGGCAAACTCTGCACAGCAGAGGAGGAAGTTTGGGGCTGGCTCCCGCTTGCTGCCTGACAGTGCATGCTGCCCAGGCATCCCTGCACACACAGCCCCAGGGAGGGTTGGGGGGGCAGGGCAGGGCAGAGAGCAGAGCAGGGACTAAGCGGCTGCCCTGCAGGAAGGGGGGCTGCCCTGCAGGAAGGATGTTGGGGGTAATCCCTCCCGCAACTAGGCTGAGCCGGGAGCTTTGCTGCTCCCCATCCCTGCAGGGCAACCACTTAGTGCCTGCTCCACTCTCGCCCCGCCTCCCACCGTGCTCCCTGGGGCTGCATGTGCAGGGGCGCCCAGGCAGCATGCACCAAAATCTGGCTGTGCTCTTGTGACCGGGAAGCAGCTCTCTTTGCAAAAAGCTTCTTCTGATCCGTCTCCACTGAAAACCTTGCAGGCTCTCTGATAGTGCCCTTGCAGACTGGTGCTCAGCAGACAATGGGTTAACACTGACCTAAGCTGCTGCCCTTTGCAAAGGAAGGTGTGGCTTCCATCTGCAACAGAGTGCAATAGACTGCACCACAGATTGTCGGCATAGAGAGGACTAAGAAAGTTGCCTCAGGGAACTCTGGGATACATCCAGAGAATTTACAGAACCCAAGTCAATCCAGGGCTGCGTGCACACAGGAAAGCAACCCTAGGTCCCATCTTAACATGGGCTCGGACCCTCCAGCTCTTCATGGTCCTGGGACCCTAGGTTCAAGCCTTAGGTTAACACAATTGGTGTGTGGATGCAAGGCAGATTAGGCTAGAGCCCGGGCTCTCGCCTGTGCTTACACTGCTGTGTAGACATACTCTGTGAGTCCAGTGGTAAAGAAACTCTGTAGCTAGCTTGGATTTAACTTTTCCTTTTTATGCTTCAAAACTGCTACATATTTTGTTTGGAAAATTCAGCATACGGTTAAACAGGCGCCACGTTAATCACAGCATTTAAAAGATGATTGCTTCTGATTAATTAATACAACAATCAGTCATGCTCTATAATTGTTCCAACATGAAAAAGTAAACCAACAATCAAGCCTAACCATTCTAATCCTTCATTCCTCTTCTCCTCTTTCACATAGTCCAGGGCCAAAATAGACTGACTTAATGTCACTTGATCAATTCATATCTCCGGAACCCAGAACATACGATTTTCATAAACCATTTCAGCAAAAGCAAGTGAACTCTTGAACCACTTCACCTATTACTGTACTATGTTGAAAGCTTAACATTCACATGTTCTGATTTGTCAGCCCCTCATGCCACTCAGAATGGATGAGTATTTTGCCAGAGTGTCTCTTCATAAGAGCTTCACAAGGCCATGATCATTGCGAAGATGTAACATTTTTATCAAACTTTCTTCTCAGCTGTTGCTGCAGCTGCTGCTGAAAGGGCAGTGTCCAGCTGGTGATGGTGAACTTTTTGTTGCAGCTTTAAAAGGGGAGACTCTAGAGGGCATTTAAAAATATACTGCATAGTTTTATTTTTTAACTTCATTTTGATAATGGTCTTGTAGAAGCATGATAATTAATTATGACTTACATTAGCTCAGGGGCACATGACACTTTGCAGATTTATAGGTCAATAAGATCATTACAGAGCTTGCAATCTAGAGGCGCAATCATAGAATATCAGGGTTGGAAGGGACCTCAGGAGGTCATCTAGTCCAACCCCCTGCTCAAAGCAGGACCAATCCCCAGATTTTTACCCCAGTTCCCTAAGTGGCCCCCTCAAGAACATAAGAACATAAGAACGGCCGTACCGGGTCAGACCAAAGGTCCATGTAGCCCAGTATCCTGTCTGCCAACAGTGGCCAATGCCAGGTGCCCCAGAGGGAGTGAACCTAAGAGGTAATGATCAAGTGATCCCTCTCCTGCCATCCATCACCACCCTCTGACAAACCGAGGCTAGGGACACCATTCCTTACCCATCCTGGCTAATAGCCATTAATGGACTTAACCTCCATGAATGTATCCAGTTCTCTTTTAAACCCTGTTATAGTCCTAGCCTTCACAACCTCCTCAGGTAAGGAGTTCCACAAGTTGACTGTGCGCTGCGTGAAGAAGAACTTCCTTGTATTTGTTTTAAACCTGCTGCCTATTAATTTCATTTGGTGACCCCTAGTTCTTGTATTATGGGAATAAGTAAATAACTTCCTTATCCACTTTCTCCACATCACTCATGATTTCATATACCTCTATCATATCCCCCCTTAGTCTCCTCTTTTCCAAGCTGAAGAGTCCTAGCCTCTTTAATCTCTCCTCATATGGGACCTGTTCCAAACCCCTAATCATTTTAGTTGCCCTTTTCTGAACCTTTTCTAGTGCCAGTATATCTTTTTTTAGATGAGGGGACCACATCTGTACGCAGTATTCAAGATGTGGGCATACCATCGATTTCTATAAGGGCAATAATATATTCTCAGTCTTATTCTCTATCCCCTTTTTAATGGGGATAGAGAAACATCCTGTTTGCTTTTTTGACCGCCTCTGCACACTGCGCGGACATCTTCAGAGAACTATCCACGATGACTCCAAGATCTTTTTCCTGACTTGTTGTAGCTAAATTAGCCCCCATCATATTGTATGTATAGTTGGGGTTATTTTTTCCAATGTGCATTACTTTACATTTATCCACATTAAATTTCATTTGCCATTTTGTTGCCCAATCACTTAATTTTGTGAGATCTTTTTGAAGTTCATCACAGTCTGCTTTGGTCTTAACTATCTTGAGCAGTTTAGTATATCATCTGCAAACTTTGCCACCTCACTGTTTACCCCTTTCTCCAGATCATTTATAAATAAGTTGAATAGGATTGGTCCGAGGACTGACCCTTGGGGAACACCACTAGCTACCCCTCTCCATTCTGAGAATTTACCATTAATTCCTACCCTTTGTTCCCGGTCTTTTAACCAGTTCTCAATCCATGAAAGGACCTTCCCTTTTATCCCATGACAACTTACTTAAGAGCCTTTGGTGAGGGACCTTGTTTGAACTCACAACCCTGGGTTTAGTAAGCCAATGCTCATGTCTTTTACGTAGTGCATGGAGCACTGGGCCAAGCTTCAGGAGACCTGGGTTCTATTCCCAGCTCTGCCACTGGCCTGCTGGGTGACTGGGGGCAAGTCACTCAACCTTCCGTTGCCTCAGTTTCCTCGTCTGTGAAGTGAAGACAATGATACTGACCTCCTTTAGAAAGCACT